AGTGGTGCCATCTCCGCTCACTGTAACCGCCTCTTCCCCGTCAAACAATTCTCCTGCCTCAGCCTCCCAAGTATCTGGGACTACAGATGTGTGCACCACTGCACCCGGCTGAGAGAGAGAGAGAGAGAGAGAGAGAGAGAGAGAGAGAGAGAGAGAGAGTGTGTGTGTGTGTGTGTGTGTGTTTTAGTGATGGGGTTTTACCATGTTGGCCAGGCTGGTCTTGAACTCCTGACCTCGTGATCTGCCTACCTCAGCTTCCCAAGGTGCTGGGATTACAGGCGTGAGCCACCGAACTCAGTCCCTCAAGACCTTTAAAACAATAATTCTTTCAGAAAAAAAAAAAAATTAAATGATATCAAAGAAAGATATTAGGATGTTCTGTGTGTGCTTTTATTTTGTGGGGGGTACTTTTTATGAATGTAGCAAGTCATTCTTTTTTAGAGTTGCAAAGATGCAAGCATGACCGTAATTTTTACATGCTTGTATTAATATGCTGTAGTAACAGGTTTCTGACAGGTGTTTCTTATTATTGAATTTAGCTTGTAATCTAAACTTTGAGGAACAGGCCATAAACATATACTAATTATGGATAACCTGAAAAGTTATGGTGATTAAGTTTCAGCTTTTGGGTCTGTTTATATTAAAAGCAGTGTTACTTGAATTTAATGTTTAGAATTAGAAATACCTGATCATCTCTTACTTTTTAATTTAATAATTAACAGCCTTTAATGGCAGCATATTATGCATGTGAACGTATATTTACTTTAATATGTATTGTTCAGCCTATCTGCAAATGGAATTGTCTGGTTTTTGGTAAGGAGAAGCAGAAGCTGGTTGTTGCTGGATAAGTTTTTTCCCAGAAGGAAAATAGTGATTGAGACTTAATGCAAATTTTACTTCTGCGCTTTATACTCTAAAGCTGTTGGAATGTTAACTCTTTTATGGTAGGTATAAAAATTGGTACATATGATAAAAACCTCAAAGTTTTTTCCAGACACTAGGTGAGAGCTCCACCTTGTGATCTTTGAGCATATTTTTTAAAAGTTAATAACCTACAGTAGTCCAAAAATTTTGTGGTGAGTTTGATTTTTAAACTCATGCTTTTCTTTGAGCATTACATGTTTTTATAGTTTTGGGGGTTAGCCGGCTGAAGTCAAATGGTATTAAGCACATTTGAAGATACTATGAATTTGTTAATGTAAGTCTATGGGGGAAACAAATTGGATGGATGGATGGATGGATTGGCAGAGTCTTACCCCATTGCCCAGGATGGAGTGCAGGGGTGTGATCATGGTTCACTGCAGCTTCTACCTCCTGGGCTCAAGCAATCCTCCTGCCTCAGCCTCTCAAGTAGTTATAGGACTATAGGTGTGTGTCACCATGCCTGGCTGATTTTTAAATTTTTTGTTGAGATAGGGTCTCATTACGTTCCCCAGGCTGGTCTCAAACTCCTGGGTTTAAGCCATCCTCCCGCCTCAGCCTTCCAAAGTGCTGGGATTGTAGATGTGAACCATTGTGCATGGCCTGCAACTTATGTTTATATGCAGCTGTAGACATTTAAAATAAAGATAGAAAGATTCTTAGCTCTTCATGTAGATTAAAGTTTACATTTAAAAACTCCTAATCCCAACTCATCCATTGGGTTCCTTCCCTTCTAAATTACAAAGCAGCCTTAATATTTGTAATTTTTGTTGAGCTATGTAATTTTGTTGAACTGTTTCTGTGGCAAATAAGTCATTTAGAGAATGGCTAAAATAGTAAAAACTCGGATACATGGAATTTAACATTCTTATATTTAATAATATTAAGTGGCAAGTAGGTACATTCTAGTAGAAATAATACTTTCACATTTCTTAACAGGTATTATGAACAGGGATCATTGTTGTCCTGTTCACTAATGTATTCTCATTGCCTCAGCATTGCATTTGGCACATGGTGGATACTTTTACTTGGTTGGGTGAATTTTCAATATTTAGAAACTTAAAAAAAAAATCGTATTTCACTAGGATAGGGAACTGGTCAGTTCAATAATTTTTCTGTCTATTAGACCCTGACATAAGATTTTTTTTTCTTTTAAAAATGTATGTACCTGGCTGGGTGCGGTGGCTCATGCTTGTGATCTCAGCACTTTTGGAGGCTGAGGTGGGGTGAATTGCTTAAGCCCAGGAGTTCAAGACTAACCTCAGCAACATGGTGAAACCCTGTCTCTACAAAATAAGAAAACATTAGCTGGGCCATGGTAGTGTGTGCCTGTAGTCCCAACTACACAGGAGGCTGAATTGGGAGGATCGCTTGAGCTTGTGGAGGTCAAGGCTGTAGTGAGTTGTGATTGTACCACTGCCTTCCAGCCTGGGCGACAGAGTAAGATCTTGTCTGTCTGTCTGTCTCTCTTGATTTTTTATATACATATTGCACATGTGCGTGTGCGCACACACACATGCACGCACGCATGCATCTTGTCTTGAGAGACATATCTTACAACTTCAGTTTTGCTTTTGTGTTTGTTTTGGTTTCTAATTACAAAATACATGTTAGTATAGCCTGTGATTTACAAAATAATTTGAACTGGGAAGACTTTTTTCTTTTACACTAGAAATTAATTTTGTGCTATTTAGAAGAATCCAGTATGTCATACAGTATTCATTTTATTTAGTATTCTCTGCTTTTCAGAGCTAATGCATTCTTTATGTTCATTACCTGTGATTCCTTAGGTGACTGTATTTAAGAACTATCTTTAAAGTCTTCTTAGAAACTATATTGAAGGAAAGCAGCAACTTTGGTTTTTATGAAATGCTCAGAGAGACAGATACAGCAAGGATCACATGACCACTTTATTTTTCATCTTGCTGTGTAGATGACCTGACCTGTTTGTTAGAGTTTATTAGTTCTGTGCCTGTCCAGTTCCTTTTAAAGAAACAAAATGATTTTCTTTTATAAATAAATTATCATGTTAGGAGATGAATGTGTGTCCTATATATGATGACAAACTTCAAAAAAGAAAACATTAACCAGATGTGTTAGCGAGTGCCTGTAGTCCTAGCTACTGAGAAAGCTGAGGCAGAAGGATCTCTTGAGCCTGAGAGTTTGAGGGTACAGTGAACTGTGATCGTGCCAGTGCACTCCAGTGTGGGTAACAGGGTAAGGTCCTGTCTCAACAAATACAAGATTTTAAAATTTCTTTATGTTCGAGACAGAGTCTCGCTCTGTCACCCAGGCTGGAGTGCAGTGGCACCATCTCATCTTACTGCAGCCTCCACTTCCCAGCCTCAGCCTCCTGAGTGGCTGGGACTACAGGCGTGCGCCACCACATCCGCCTAATTTTGTATTTTTAGTAGAGATGGAGTTTCGCCATGTTGGCCAGGCTGGCTCGAACTCCTGACCTCAAGTGGTCTGCCCACCTCGGCTTCCCAAAGTGCTGGGATTACAGACATGAACCAACTGAGTCTGGCCAAAAACAAGATATTTAAATCTGAGTATCTTTTAGGCAAAAATAAACTCCAAGTGATGGTATATATTATTTGATTATTCAGGATTTAATTTGTGGGTTATTCATTCTTGTTTCTCCTGTTACCTCATTTGTTATTTTGCCGTTCCCAAAACATAAAATTAATATTTTGCTGTTTTAGCTTAAGTAAAGTAAGCTAGGAACTGCAATGTTTTGAACTTTGTATATTAATTAAATATTAGCCATTTATGATGTGTTCTAGAGGTATAAAGTTATTAAGAAAAATTGAGCTGTTTCTTGTGTGATATCTAACCTACTGGGAGAAATCATTAGGAGCTTGTCAGTATGTTATATTTGAGCATTTAGTATTAATTGGATATGTTTAACCTTACCTGCTTTTTCTTTAGGTGGCCACCGCGTACTAAATTCACTTGGGAATAAAAGAAAAACATAAAATTATAAGAGAAAGGTACACACAAGACTAAGAGCTTTAGACTTAAGCTTCAGTCTGTTTTCTCCTTTCTTTGGTCTTAGGTTATTTTCTCATTTAGGAAATGCATCCTTGACTTTCAAAACATAGACATAATACCCTTTCTATCTGCCATTCTTGCATGTACTTTGGTCAAAAATGGCATTTATCTGTTGTTCATATGACATTGACGTTTAAATTGATCCTAAGTTCCTTGAGGGGGTGGAATAGGTCAAATCTAACATTGTTTTCTCCTTCTCTTCTCGACACAGTTTGTTATTATCATGAAGTGATTATTTATTTAATAAGCCAGGCTTTGGACTGTGTTTCCAGGGTAGGAAAACCTGTTTTTAAATTGTATCTCAGGTGTTTTTTATTAGCTCTTTTTAACTGTTTGTGTATGATATCAGTGAAAGCCTGTATTTTCAGGCATCTCATATTCTGGTTTAAGTTCTCATAGGGATTTCAGAACCAGCAAGAGTCATATCCTGTTCCTATTTAGGATGTATTGATGTTTATGTACATAATGCCAGGCAGAGAATCACAAGAAAATTTAAAAACAATTGTTTTACTAGCTTCTTTTTTTCCTGTGTGTTATTACTATGGGGCTACAAGTGTTACAACAAATCCATATCTAAAATAAGCAGTCAAGGCCGGGCATGGTGGCTCTCACCTGTAATCCCAGCACTTGGAGAGGCAGAGGTGGGTGGATTACCCGAGGTCGTGAGTTCGAGACCCGTCTGGCCTACATGGCAAAACCTCATCTCTACAAAAAATAGCTGTGCGTGGTGGTCTGTGCCTGTAATCTCAGCTACTTAGGAGGCTGAGGCAGGAGATTCACTTGAACCCAGGAGGCAGAGGTTGCAGTGAGCCGAGACGGTACCACCGCACTCTGGCCTGGGTGACAGACAGAGTCAGACTAAGTCTCAAAATAAAAGAATAAGCAGTCAAATGCAAGGGAATGAAATCCTTATTTACTAAAACACATTAGCAGGCACTGGGGAATTAAGCTTTTGAGTACGGATATCCTTTTTCAATATTTTTGGTGTGTTTATAGTAAATAATGTCATTTTCCCCCTTTTAAAGGAATTGTTTTAGAAGAAAGAAGCAAGCCATCATTTTACCCACGTAAATATATGAATATATTTCTGACATTGAGGTGTTCCAGAAGATGATAAAGAAATGATAGCAGCTCCAGAAATACCAACTGATTTTAATATACTACAGTAAGTAAATTGCAGTCTGATAATTTTTAAATGCTTGTTTATTCCACAAAATGGGGAGTGCATTAACTTCAGTTAAATGTCCTTCTGCTTGAGAAGATCTGATATATAAAATAGCTTGTATGTTTTGCAAGAGTTTATATCAGCACTCATCAAGGTTCTGTAATAGTAATCATTCCATTTTTTTGTTGCTGTGTTTTAAATTTATCTTTTAGTTTACGTGCTGCACAGTTTATTATTTTTTTGTTGTGTAGTTCTGAGTTTATGTTTGGTTTTGCAATAGCAACTGTTAGGAATATGTACCACGTAGTAGTAGTAATATTTAGGATGTAATGTCAAATTTCTGTTAAAAAATCAAATGATGATTGCAGAAACCAGTTACATGTATGTTGGTCCATAAAGTGATTTCAACATAGGTATCCTCTTTACTCTCAACTAAACAACTAACTGTACTCCTTATCAGCTTTTATTCTAATAATTTCTTGGTTTCGAATGATTTTGAACTACTCTATGTAACAGTGATTTTCATACTAAGCTACAGTTTCATGAGTTGCCTCAGTGAAAAGTGAACTTTTAAATTGCCTGTGAATCCCTTTATTTACCCACCCCCACCACTGTATTTTTTATTAGAATCTTTATTAGACTTGACTTGAAAAGAGAGCTTACTTGCTAAAAATTTTGAAAACAACAGACCAATACTGTTGTACATAATGGCAGCCAGCGTCTACTTTGGGTTATATGTAGATTTTTATACTTTTAATAATTTTGTTATCTTTGGTGGAGATTATGAGGCTTCTGGGACCTCATACATTCAGATTCCCACAAAACAGCGTTTTTAGTGAGGATTTTATGTATTCTAAGTGTAATATCTTTGTAAAAGTTAATTGTTACCTTTGTTAATATTAAGTGTTCACTGTATACAGGATGTTACATTCGATTCTGTGAGGAATTAAGTTAGGTACTTCCTGCTGCCTTTATGAATTCTTTTTTTAAAGATATAAAGAGAAGATTATGAAGTTTCTTATATACTTGATTAGAGACTATTAAAAAGGTTTGTATTATGGGCTAGACTGTTGACTGTTAGAATATCTCAAATAATTAGGACCTGAAATAGGATAATGAATAAAAGGGAATTGATGTTATAGGGGTAGAACAGAACCAGCATTTGATTGGGCATGTGGGTTGGAGGGCACAGTAAAGGAATGGAAGATTCAGTCGTGTGATAGATGACTCATGATGTTTCAGGTCACTGAATGGTTAACACACTACGTTTAATAAACGTAAATGTTATTTCACTTAGGTTAAATTTTGTTCTTTTGATCTTTTTTGTTTTGTTTTGTTTTTAATTTTTGTTCTTTTGATCTTAAAAACACAGGGTAGCATTGAAGAATGGCTTAGGAGAGTATTTCTTTTCTGGTTGGGAGTATTTTAGACTTCCATTCTGATTACTTAAGCTTTCTTCAGAAGGTTTTTCAGTTAGTAACCAAATCGCTAGTGGTTTACTCTTAGTTGGGATAGCTTGGAGATGAGTATTAAGAGTATAATTGAGCCCTTCATTACTCTGGCAATTGGAGCATTGTGAATATTTTCTGCGGACTTAAAGCAGTTACTTAGCTCTCTAAGAGAACTGGTGTCCCACAAAAGGCTTGGGAAGAAATAAATATTATTTATACATCAAGATATTTTAAATTTTCATTTTTTTTGCAAGACCATATAGACACGTGAAAAGATTATTGATGACAACAATCTTCTTAAGATGTAGCAGGCATAAGCTTCAGGGCTAATATTACAGTAGTCATTCAGTTTTTGGTGCAGTAACTTGGGAATGGTATTTATTACAGGCCCTTACCTCTCAGCATTGTAGCATATAGTTAGGATTGCCACCACCTTCCTTCCATACATTGTTTAAATTACTTTATAGGTAAGTGCTATAAATAGTAATTTTTTTCCTGCTAGCATCTTAATCATTATTTTAGATTTATGAAGTGGTCCTATCTCACAGCCTCTGCTACCTCATAGCCTCTGGGCAACTGGTTATTGTAGCAATAAAATGGAAATAGAAGAAATCTAGATTGAGAATAAGAGTTTTATAAAGATAGCCTTTCACTTTGATTCCATTTATTTTAAGCAAAGCTGGTGCTAGGTTTACACATTTTGGATGGAAAAACCTTTATCTTTTATGGATGTGGCTCAATTCTAAAATCCAGTGTGACCCAAATACTAATATAAGTATGCTTTGCTTTAAGCATTTAAATGAGAGTATGTTACTACTATTTAGATAGACCTCATGTTTACTCATATAGAAAGTATCACACATGTTTATTTAAATCAGTCTGCTTCCATATGTTTGTAAGAAAATCCAGTTTATACAAACTAGCCTTACCCCCACCCAGAACAAGGGACAGTTGTTTAGGACTGTAGATTCATATGTTGGAGATTGTAGAGAATTTAGAGATTTCATACTTTCCTGCATATACATTATTTATATATAAGAAGATTGAGGTTGTCACTTATATAAGATCCACAGTTACTTAGTACCAAAACTGTTCTAACTGTAGCTCATCACCTCTTTACTTCGTAAAGGGTATTGATCACTTAGCATAATTCCCTAGTGTATTTCAGATGATTTAGTTTATAAAAATGTTTTATAAATACCCTTTCAGAAATGCATGTTTTGTATATTGACTCACCTAGATATATAAATATTTTTCGAGTGAGGTAGGGGAGGTCAGAGGATCCATAATGATAAAACTCCCTAATAAAGTTCCTCCAGTGCCTAGTATTAAAATAGTTTTTACTCAGCACTATGGTCTTTGAACCAGAAAATGGAACCAGCCATTACATGGAACACCACAGTTCCTAGGGTTAAATTTTGAGACCCACTGGATTAGTTTTATACTTTGATTAAAAATTAACAAAAATGTTTAGATATTTGTACTTTAGATTTTTTTATAGCTGTTTATATAATCTTGTGTGTTTGGTAATGTGCTATAATATGATATTTTGGGGAAACATCTTAATTACTTATAATGCTAATATGAAGTTTTGTAATGAGTTAACCAAGCCTTTATTTTAGAAAATCTGGCAAAAATTAGAAACTCAATATAAATTTCTAAGGAAGGTTTTAAATTATTGCTTATCTTTCTGTCACAGGGAGTCAGAGACACATTTTTCTTCTGACACAGATTTTGAAGATATCGAAGGAAAAAACCAAAAGCAAGGCAAAGGCAAGGTATGTATCAAATATGTGACTTTATTTTTATTCTTAAGATCTCTCACACAGATTTAGGTTATGTCTCAGATAGTTTAGTCTTTTAAAAATGGCTTTTTAAGGGGGTGGAGGCTGACTGGTATGGTAAGCCTTCTGAATAAATGTGGTCCTTTTGTCTTCTAGACCAGATAGCTTTTGGGATCTCTTTACACTGCTGTAAAGTTGCAATTACTACTACTACTACTACTACTACTAATAATACATCATTGTTTCCAGTAGTTTGTTATGTAAGGCACAGTATTTTAAGCAAAATGCAATGTTCTGTTGGCTTTTTGTTTTCCCACAAGTAATGTAAAGCAAAGCAATCTCTTATTCTAAAGCACTCTAAAAATGTAACATACAACATTTTAAGGCTAATGGGTTACAATTGACAGTAGTTTTACTCTTTGTAAGTAATGTGAAAGGTTAAAAAATAACAAAGTTAAGTTCTTAGTCATTACAATGTAACTTTAGAATATGAATGGGTTGGCCTGAGGACTGCAGATAACTTGGCAAATGGTTAAATTATTTTGTTGTTTTGGAAAGTACATTTGACTCTGCATGTGTGTAAATACATTATGCATAAGATAACTTGTTTTTGTTGTTCAGCATTTGTTTTTCAAAATGAATTTTGGATTTATATTGTCTCATGACATACTTTGAAAAAGTCTTAACAATACAGAAGTTTACGATGACCAAAGTGAAATTTTTCCATAATCCTATCACCCAGAGGTAATTTATTCTTTAAACATTTTGATGCACATACTTTTATTCATACACCTATGTATAAACATGGATATTACATTTTATTTAGTTGGAGTCATAATATGCAAACAGTTTAATGTGCTTTTAAAATGCAGTGTTATGTTATCAACAACTTTCCTGTAAGTCAATGTAAAACTCTGTAACTTTTATTATTTATTTTAATTTTAAGATAACATTTATTTATTTATTTATTTTTATTTTGGAGATAGGGTCTCACTATGTTGCCTAGACTGGAGTGCAGTGGCTGTTCACTGGCACAGTCATGGCACGCTACAGCCTCAAACTCTTGGGCTGAAGCAATTCTCCTGCCCCAGCCTCTCAACTGGACTACAGGCCCCACAGTCTTGTGCCTCCATATCTGACTTCTCTGTAGTTTATTTTTTGTTTTTGTAGAGATGAGATTTCACTATGTTCCCCAGGCTGGTCTTGTACTCCTGGGCTCAAGTAATCCTCCTGCCTCAGCCTCCCGAAGTCCTGGGATTATAGGTGTGAGCCACCACGCCTGGCCATTCTGTTGTGATTTCTAATGGTGGCACTGACATCACATTTAATGTATGGGACATTATTTAATGCTTGGAATATTTTTTGAGTGCTCATAATTCATGTGTATCATAATTTTGTGTGCTGTCTTATTTCCTTAAGAATTTGAGAGGGGGATATGTATAGAAATGTTAACTTATGGCTATCCAAAGATAACCTTAATTCTTTTGGACAGTATACATTAACTCATTACAATATCATTTTTTCCCATTAACCTACTTTTGCCTTTGATTTAATTTACAAGTTTGAACAAGATTCTTGGTGGCACCTGAGTAGAGGACTCTTTAATGTTTTTGTGCTACAATTTG